ACGCCCGATTTTTTCCGGGCCAGTCTTTTTCAACCGAGTTTATTGGTTGATCGGCGAACTAAATCGGGCTTCCAAAAATTAATTCGGGTGTAATCCCGAATTAATTCTCCTCCCACAAGGCNATCACAACATCCTGAACACAAGCCCGACACAGATGGNTACGCCCACTGTGAAANAAGGCCGTGTATCGCGTGGTAGTAATATACTGCACAAACCTTTTTTGTGACAAAACATAACAAATAATACTTAATTAATACAGACTCTAGATATCTGGAATTTACTTTACTTATCATCTTTCATAAAGACTTCTAGAATGGCGTATAGACTAACCGTAAGGTCCTCTGAGCCAATATGCACCAATACCAATTACACTTTTATTACACTCATCACAACGAATTAATTCGGTGGAAGTCCCGATGATTACCCCGTGAGGTTTGACAGGTTTATAATATTGACAATTACCCGGTTTATATGAGCAGGCTTTACAATGGATTTAATTACACTCGCAGCACCGATATNGTGACACTTTACGACAACGGCCTAAACTGTAGTACTGCTAATGATCGAAGATTGGTGATAGGAAAATGATCTCACAGTTTGAAGAAGACTGGCGTACACGACACACAGTTATTTTACTCTCATGTAATTATAGGAGGAGCGGGAAGTACTTTACAAATAAGTTTCTCTTGATATACACGATAGCGTGGATCGTTCACCGGTAGCGTCACTGTGTAATACAAATGCGTGGTATTAATCGGAATTAGTTTCTTACACGTCCGAATTTCTANGGTTAGTTCCCCCTTCCGTTGCTTATTATCACCAGATACCCAACATCGGCACTGGGCGGCTGATGCAATGTATTCTCGACCCACTCGATGACTCTACGCCACCTTTGCTTTTGCCAACCCGCACGGTTTTTGCGCTTATTCTTTGGCATCAATAAATGAACATTTAATTAAATTATGCATACTAACGCGATAATTACCAATCACTCTTACTTAATANTATCTCTGGAATAAAAGAATATTAGTAGTACCTTGAGAGGATGCGCTGGTCGGGCGCGTCCCTTTTCTCAGTAGACAAAGACAGCAATAGACGCGGGGGCCTTCCACTACGGCGGTACCCACGCTTCGACGCGTGGCGACGCCGTAAGAATTTCTTGGAGGAAAGGAGCCTCGAGATTTGTCGTTTGAGTGCTTCCTTCGGCTCAGGTCACGAGATGCGCTGTTCAACGAGCGCGTCTACGCAGGGATTAGAGGAATAGTCTCTCTTATATTATAGCAATGGAGTAATAATATGTATCTCAATTTGAGTTGATAAGTATGTGTGTATATTCTGAATCAATAGTTACTATTCAATTCTGGAATGATACTCAAGTGCGAACAATAGACCCAATACTTGAGCGTTTTGTAGAACATGCGATCTTGGAGTTATA